AAGGTAATGGCCGAGGTATAATGGCGATCTCACCGAAGGTAGCGCAGTTCTTTCCCAGGAAAATCATGATAATGACTGATAGTAGCCAACATGATCATCAATGATCGTTAAACGGCACTAGAAGGTTATATGTATATATATATATATATATATATATATATTATAATTTCTAATTTTATTTGAAATATTAACTTACTTAATGATTAAAATAAAAGTTTAAATCAGGTACATATTTCCCAATTCATGGCACACTCTATATTTCGAAGACAAGTTTCAAATAATCGCGTAAATTCGATTTTAAGTATATTTGAAACGGAGGACCTAAAACAAACGTTTTAACTTTTAATGGAAAGTTTATTTATAACCTTTATCGCAGGATAAATCGATAAGTGATGTCTGAATAATTTAATTTCATTAGAAGTTTAACTCTCCGATCTTTTCGTCCTGTCACATTGGACGAGTTTGGAATTGCCACAAATTAATTAAAACCACAGTTACAGGAGGCGACAAAGTATTACGTCCTTTAAATTGAAGGATGTTGATTGCGAAGGAATATAAATTCGAATAACAATCATTCTTAACTTGGAGCTTATGTTAAAAATTGAACAAGATAAAATTGAACAAGATAACAAGATAATATAAATACGATGATATCTATATTATGCAATTTTAAAATGCGTCACTTTTGAAATTTTAGACTTTGCTTACATGCTTGTGTAACGGGTTTCGTGCCAAGCAGTTTTTTAATCATGTAAAGAGCAATTAATTTATTTGTTCTACGTGTAACTGAATTTATTCTACAAAAAGTCCAGATAACATTAGATAATTAAATAGATAAGTAAAACACGAACAATTTGTATAATATACGAAAATTCCAGAAGGTTAATTTGTACAAATTTTACATGAGTAATTTTTTAACTTTATTGTAATTATCTTTGCGGGTAAAGTAGGTCTTAAGATTTTGACATGAGTGATTAAATATTTCGTAATATTTATTTGTAATTCTAACTAATGATAAATACACTGGTGGACATGGAAAAAAGAACACCATGGAGGGCTGATATATTTACTATACTAATGTACCTGTAAGATATCCCCATAAAGATTTCCATATGTTGTACGATCTTGTCTTTCTTATCATGCTCGACTGTGCGAATGAATTAACACAACGTTATCGGGTATCGTAGGGATAAAGTGTTCTTGATGTTCTTTTTTCCACCAGTAATTATATACTAATAAAAATAAAAAAATAAGAAGTTATTCAAGATGTAGAAATTTTAAAAGTAAGACATTATTCAAAGAAATATCTTTATAGATTTCTAGATTCGGTATTTTGCAAAAAAAATGTAAGAATGCTATGAAATTTTTGCAACGCTAATATTAGTTTTTACGAATGTTTCGCGTTTCGTTAATTATCTTCTCTTATCGAGGTGCATCGGTCGCGCGATAATTACTTCATAATTCAACGTTCGTTTGCGCTTGGATAAACACACTACGTGTGAATACACAGGGTGTCTTCAAACGACCTGTTATAGCCTTCTCATTTGTAGACCGGTTGAATAAATTGAAAAAAATATACCCAGGCAAACTAATTTTTGTTGCAATTAAGGTTGATAATAGGCGACGTTATTGTTGCGCAAAGCCCGAGGTTCGTGATAGAAGATGGATGACGAAATTTTTATTTATTAATGCGAAATACGTAGATTTTATTTTAATAGAGAATCGCAGTTCGAAATTTAATTATAACATACAGTATTCGAAGTATGGAAAGCGCGATAAATAATGGATTTCTCTCTCGACATGGTCGTTACTGAAGAATTATCTTCGAATTAATCACAATGCGGTTTTATTCTCTCCGGTAATTGTGGAACACTCGGTGTAAATGGTGGTATTTATAGTTATCACGGAGCGTTTGCTCGCGAGTAGCGTGGCAGCATAGCCGAAGAAAACGTCGTTTCTTCGTCGAGTGAAAATTAGTTTCAAGGGAGAAGTAAGAGCAAGGTTTTCCGAGACCGCGTCTTCCAGTGAACGCAACCATGCCTCGGCAAATATTAGCATGATTCGGTAGAATCGTCAGTTCTGCATTAGCAGCTTGGACCAACTGCGCCGGAAAAGTCGGAAGACGAGAGTTGAAGTTTGGGTAAGAGGAGAATGATACGCTTCATAAATTTTGCATTGAGAAAATAGAATAAAATGGGATAAAATTCCAAACTGTTTTTCATGCGAATTTGTGGGACACATGAAAAAAAAAACGAATACATCCTAAGATCAATCTCGACAAAAAATTAAATATTCAATTCTAACACAAACGGAATTAGATATTCTTCTATTTTAATTCTTTCCTTCGCAAGTTATTCTCATGTCAGTTCAAAGTCATATGCTACATCCATTAATTCACAGCCGTTAATTACCAAAAATTAAGATCGTAAAATTTGTAATTCTTAAGCTGTAAACTGTAAACAATCCTCGATAAAACAAGTTGTTATTGTACCTAATGAAATTATTGCCATTGGTGTCAAAAATTGATATTTTTTGGGCATAACAAGCCATGATAAGCTGCAACAAAAGATAAACGTTCCTTTTATAGCAGTTTATAGCTTCGTTGCCTTATCACCCATATGTGCGTAACGCTTTAAGATTACTCTTATCGGAACGTGCACTTGTGCGAGCGCTTTGTTCGTGATTCCGCTACTTGCCAAAAGAACGCGACGCTTTTCGTTTCTCCGCGTGACAGCGTTCAGCGAAGGCAGAGCGGTTGTGGTGAGAAGGTTGAAATTTCGCAATTTACCGGGAGACGGGGAAAGAGGATAATTCACGGGATATGTTTCGCGGTAACGGTAACGGTAACATATCGTGTTAACGTTAGGAAAAAAAGCGTTCTGCCCGGGGGTGTTTCTTGCGGTTACCCGGGATAACGACGGACGCGTGTTGTGTCGTAAACGGTGTTTTATGGGCGGTTGCTCCGGATGTGGGTCGGCTTCTCTCGCGAGAGCGCGTCTCCCTCGAGAGATCGACGGAAAAACCCGCGCTCCGGAATCGGGAGACGTATATAACGGTATGTACGTGTACTCGTGAGTACAAGTTATCGACACGCCAATCCGCGGATTCCTCCGGAATTATCTTGAATTTGCGATCCTATTTAATTCGCCGAAGAAGTCAGGAAAGCCTTTTCCGTTTAATAATATTAGGTTTGGCAGATTGCTTTAAGCTCTGGCAAGCATGTGTCAGACGAAGTACATGCATGTACGGGACATAGTGTGTATTCCGAGAAGAGATACAAACGATTTAAAACACGTATTGTGAGTGTGTACTTTCTTAATGAAATCTAATTTTACTTTAAAGTTGCATTTCTTGATAATTTTATTTAATATGATTTTTAAAATTAGAGTCGAGAATAAGTCCTTTGCATTAAATAATAATATAATTATATTAACATGCATATAAATATATGATGCTATTCGAGCGATCGAATATTAAAAATAATAAATCAATGATTTGTTATAACATATCGTTTGCATATCTTCTAATTTGATAAGCCGAAATATATTTTCATCTATTTGAAACGAACGAAAATATCGGACACAGGATATGTCTTTCTTATATAATTTCAGAATTAGATTATAATTTAAAATGTCATTCTTATTCAATTTTTCCGTTTTTATTATAAGAAAATAAAGATTTTAAAAAATTAGTTCACGAAAATTTATACATATATCTCGATAATCTATGTATATATATCATATCGATATCATTTTATAAGATAAATGTAGAATGCAGATATGCTGAAGCACTTTTTGTTATCACGTGTCACGTGATATACGTGATGTATCAATCCATTTGTATAATAATAATTTATAATAATAACAATGCATTGTACATATAATGTGTTAAAATTGAAAAGTTTTGGGTTATTTTAAATAAATACATTTTTTAATAATATTATATCTGTTTAAAAAATATATAATTGTGTCAGCAGATTGCATTATTAGAGATATAATTTATTTAAATAAAAAAGAAAAAATGGTTAAAAACAATTTTTGAAAAGAAATTTTCTTACGTCTGTTTTTTCTGAAATACACGATTGTTACATGAATAGACGTTTAATGAGATTAAAATAGAATAGAATTAAATGGCTATCGGATAGAGCAGCAAACGCTGACACTGTAATTGTTGCTGTAAAGAGCAGAATACGGGAGATCAAGATGCTCGAATGCGATTCGAGGCACAATATGCGACTTCCCCCGCGGAAACCGCGACCCTATCGATCCGTTAATAAAGCACCCCTACGCAATCGCTTATTCCTCCCTTTGACCGCAGAGAGAATCGTCGAGATCGATACACGAAGTTACCGTGGCTTTTCGGACGACTTGTCCGATTGGTTTTTTATCGGCAACTGTTTCAAAGTATCGATATCAGACTTATCAGAGTTTGTAGTCTTGCAGCGCAAATCCGGATTACATCGCGCATGCATTACCCCCGAAGTTATCGACAACATCGATCGCGACTGTAGAATTTATGTGGCGTTGCATTAGAAGGTTATTCGATAAAATGTAAAACTGTTTTACTCATTTTTGCATTCGTTTTATCTCTATTGCAGATATTAAAGTACAGTATTTTCGTGAAACAAGGAAAAAGCTGAACGTAAAATATGTCAGATTATGAAACTGAAAAGGATTTTTAATCTACGAAATTTTAGGAATATAGTGGAAACGACACAGATTATTATTTATGTTGCAGAATGTTCTCATTCCAACTTTGGAGTTTACATTAATTATAAGAGGGAAATTTTTAGCTGCTAGACTTTAATTCAATCTTGATTTAAAATAGGAAATTATAACGTCTTTCTGATAAAATTCATGTTAAAAATTATAATGTAAAAAATGTATTCAACGAAACTTCAAAGTATTAAATTTCTTTAAGCGAAGCAACTTTCGGCGAGTCTTATTTTGTCGATTCTGCGACCGATTGCTATAACGCCGAAACTTTAATTTTGTTCACAGCCACGTCAGCGGTGATCGTGAAAGCAGAGAACGAGCACCATCATCTGTCGAGTCTCTCCGGGGACAATATTCTTGGGTCGGGGGTGAGAATAGGACGCGGCGAGGACGCAGTCGCGAGCGGTAGCATCAGCCCCATTATGGATTCGGCGCAATCGTCCATCATGAAGCAAGCGGACTACGTCGTAGGTCAGTGAACTGAATTCACGATTTTTTTTCCTGCGAATACGACGACGATTTTCTTCGATTCGAAAGTAATAGTCTGATTTCAGCCGATAGTGAATAATCCGATAATTACGTCGTTGTCGTACGTGCTATCTGTATCTCGTGTTGTCAAAGTGACGCGAGTGTCCCGTGTGATATGCACGAGCTTAGGCTGTTCGCACGTGAAATGGAGGCTTCAGCAGTCTTACATCATTTTTGGTAATGCCGAGATTTGTGAAAAACTGATCCAAAAGAATATATTTTCTAAATATCGTTTACTCGTGTTTGAAGAACAAAGCCGCGATGAGATAAAATCTACGAATTTGAAAGAATTTACAACATAATAAGATATGTGATATTTACGAGAAATACTTTTTTGACTTGTTAATTTCGCGCAGTAATAATTAATTTTTATTTTCATGAAAATTATATTTTACAGGCAAAATTAACGTTCACAAATCTTACAATAAAAGTTTTTAATTAGATGTTAATATATTATTTTATATATCACGAAAAAAGCTTTGAAGATTTTTTGCATTTTATTGAATTAATATTAAATTTTAAAAATTCTAGATTGATATTTTTATTTTATCTACAATTCCGATTTTAGCCGGTCACATTTCACGTGCAACAAGCTAATGACCCGAATTATATCGACAATGTCATCAGAAACATTATCTTGCTAGGAAGCGATTAAAATTGATACACAAGTGGTAATAAGATACAACGAAGCGAGGAGATTATATTAATCGCGAGTAATAAATACTTCTTTGATGTGCAAAGTGCATAAATGTAAATGTCGAAATTATAGGCTGCTAATTTAAAGCAATTAATTTTTGAGAGATCCAATAGCATATCAATAATGCGATAAAAAGAGATTTGCTTTTAAACACGGTTGCGAAATAATAGTTCGCAATAATAGTCACTCTCAGTGCTGTTTGCGCGATTACATTAATAAAAGTTCCCTATTTGACTCGAAATTGAAGTGCGATTACACTCGGTTCAATATGAAGCTGTTGCCATTGTTTACTAGAGGATTTATGTCGTGTTTTCGAGAGAGAAAAATTGAAGAGGAAGATAAAAACAATTATTGCTTCGAGTTAATTTCTAAGAAAGCTAGATGACACGTAATACGTAAAGTTATGAAAAAGAAAAAGAATATATTTTTTTCCTCAAGATTTATTTCGGAATGTTTAATTTAAGCCAGAAATATATTTGATATTAAATATGCTATAAAAATTATAATTTTTTGCAACAAGTATTGATTTACGAGTCGCTTGATATATTGTTTGGCTAAAGACGTAAGTGCCGAAAGGTAAACGTGATAAAAACGGCGACGTGTTGAAAATATCAAATTATACACGAACAAGCAGGAAGGCTCTTGGAGGAAGAAATCTCAGTCATCACTCGCCGTAGCGTCCAAAGTTCAGTATGCCACGGTTGATGACGCTCGGCGAAAGATGATGACGCGAGGTCCGAGGCGGATGATGGACCTGCCCGCACGATCAGGATTGCTGTCATTATGAATTTTTCATGCTCTCGCGATACGTGTTTTATTATCATATTAGCATAAATGTTTTTGTATTGCCAATTAACATAAATGTTTTGTTGTGTTATCAATCAACGATATAGCAGAGTTATTTTTAATACGAAATACATTAGGAATGTTATTACAAAATGATCAGATATTTTGATGTTAACTTCGCAACCGATACATGTATGCGTGTGTGTGATTAACATATGTGTATTAAAAACTTTATTTTACTATTAAAAATTAATTCAAATATTATTGTATGAATCAATTCTTTTCTTGGATAAAGTATTTCTTTTTAGTTTCTGAAATAATATTTCTATTGACATTACAATTAAAATAATTAATCCGACAGATATCGGATTATAAATGTACATGTTCGTTAACACTTACACGTTTCCCAATTAAAAATTTTGCAATTTATTATCCAAATGTCTTTGACCACACACACACACACATTTTAATTATGACATTTATACATTATTCGTATTTACTATCAATATGATTGATTCATTTTATTGTCAGCGTCATAAATATGGATAAATTAGAAATATTCATTTTTAGTCATTTGCTCGTACGATCGTCGGATAGTCAATAATTTTATTAGTGCGCAGAATAATGACAGCAATTCGTGATGTGAGAGGTTCTGAACGCGTGCGACCAAAGTGTATCACTAAATCGAATCAACATCGATGACACAGCACGTTAACCAATCGATATTAATCAAATCTGCATTGTGTTACAGATGTTGTGCTGCCAACGGTCCTAATTGCTTTGCTGTTCGTCGGCAATGCGATCATCGTTTATATCATCTTTCAGTTTAGAAAGAGGTAAGTGAACTCATTCACTAGTATTTCATTGATGTATTTTCTAAATATAGAAAATGGCAATTGACCGATGAATTCTTTGTCCGACTATAAATCTGACGATTTTGTAAGAAACATTTCAGCGATGTAATTAGTGTGGCAAAATTTTTATCCAACTTTCACTTAATCTGCATGTTTAACATTTAAATATGATAAAAACCATAAGATTCAATGATGAATTTAGATATTGAGTAATTTATAAGAATAAATAATAATAGAGAAAATTTTGATGTTGCAATTGTTGTCCAAATTTTTTAACTAAAAATTATTTCGATTCTTTGTTTTCAATCTTTCGTTCGGCGTGTGATATTTTTTATATATATATTTAATATAGCATTTTATATACGTTTAATATAATTTTTGTTAATTTCCATTTTTTATACTTCGGCAAGTAAAAAATAATTTCAAACTCACGGGTACGATGAGCAGCAGCGGAGTAGTAATCTGTAAAAGAGAATGCATTTAAATTATAACAGTGCATCAGAATAATTAATATTTGAAAAATAATTATCACGCGCCTCGAATTTTTTTCATTTTTGATTCCCTGCGTAATAATCTATACAATCATAGATCTAAAAATGTTGAAAATACAGATATTCATCGAATTTTACTTATAAATCTCTTAAATACATTTGTAATATTTGAAAATAATCTAAAATATTTTATATGCATTATGTTATATGTAAAACAATATCTTTATCACCGAAATAAATAAATAAGCAAGTATAAAATAATAAATTAAACGAGTCATATAAAATGCTTACTCCACGGTTGCTCCGCTGTTGCCCGATGCCTCCCCGGGCCACCTCCTCTTCTCTTTTTCGCCCGTTGCTACTGCGAACCATTGCGAACCTTTATGATACACACACACACACACACACACACACACATATTAGGTACGTACACGCATACACTAGGAACTCGCAAAAATATAAGATGATTATTTTGATCGCGCGCGCACTGATCGCCACCGCATTATTTAACGATGATATTTCGTTATTTGGTTTTCTTTTTCGCAATATTTCAACAACGTTCCGAATAATGCTACAGCCTTTACATGCACTTTCCGTATTTGGAAAGAAAATGATACCTCGGATATATAAGTATACGGAGCAAGATCGCGAGGATACACATCCACGGAATACTGCCAATATGGCTACATTCTCGTAATCGACCGGCGTTGGGTGACGGACCTTGACCGAATAAATCTCGCGAAATACGCATCCTCCCGATTCCCGACTGATCACCGACGCCACGTACGCGATACGCGAATGACGAGTATCAAGTCACGCGGCTAATTACGGCTCTACAGTTACTAATTATGCGTCGTGACGCCCGCTCGGCTCCGTAGCGCGATCCGCTTCTCACCCGAGGCGTCCCGTTAACGACCGAAAAATTTAAATCCGGTGCAACTTCACTCCGATCCGATGTCGCGCGACGCGACGCGACTGATTCGTGATTTACCTTAAGGAGGTTAAGAATCGATCGATAATACATGAGATCGACTGAAAATATACAACCCAAATTCGATATCGCGCGCGCAAATGCATTTGAAACGCGCGAACATGTCCCATAAAACGCGCTCTTATCATTAATAAACGATATCGACGTATATACGTATCGCGGCTGTTCGCTGCTTGATTGGCAATACTATTCCGCGCTTTTAACGCAAAACGAGCAGACGAGCAAATTGGCAGACGAGCGCGTCCAAATCCGCTGAAAAATTCCAAGCGCGCTGCGACATGCGTTCAAAAATAAATTAAGGAAATAATTGTAGAATAAATTGCAATCGGATAATTTACTTCCGTTCCCTCTCTCTATTATTTCGCTGCCCGCTTTGTAATGAATAGACGAGATAGATTGATAGATATTTCAATTACTTCGATCCCCGCACGCTTGCGAGTCGTCGGTCTGTGCGGAATAATCGCGAGAGATAATCGCCTTGAAATGTAATGACGCGATGATATGCGGATGGATGCGGAACGACTCGCGCCGCTTCCTATATAATACCTGCTTGAACCTCGCGACGCGATTGATAAGGTCAGAACGTGCGCTGGACAACGCCAACGGCTCGCCGTACGCTGCGAAAAGTAAACATCTCGCCACGTGCCAGCCGTGCCAGGCAACGTGTGTCGCCTAACGGAAACATTCGACGCGTTTACAAAGTCTATGTCTACCGAATATTTCGCTTCTTTCAAATTGTTTTCGTTTCAGATTAATTTGGACAAATAGATAGACTAAAGATTCCTTTATTTTAGACGATCTATATAATTCGTGTCGGGATTTTAAATGCAATTCTAATTATAATTGTACGTAACGTGTAACACGAAAAACATTTGAGAAATCAGTACAATATATATATATATATATTACATATATTTTACATATATATATATATATACCTACATATTAAAATATACATACATAATGTGTATGTTAAAATGTAAAATTATAAAAATAGAAGTCTGTCCTAAGTTTTCTGAATAAATTAGGCAACGCCTCTGCTGACTTGCTCGAGCCTCGCTATGTGAATGAATGCTCGTTGACAACGGCACACTGTACGCCGCAAAAAATAAACACGCGCCGTACTATGTAAACACTCGGCGCGCCGCAAAATCAAAACGTACATAAACCGAACATGTCTCTGCATCGTATAATATATAAACATATATTTCGAATTGATTTCAACGAGCGAGCTGATATGATATCGCGCGTTCTCTCACGGGTATCGTATTAATTCTTGTTAATGTGACACGTTTTGGGAGTTCAAAGAACGTTGCCTGAATTTGCTAATTCGTTGCAATCCGATCGATCCGAAATTACGTGCAGATCCTCGAGTACATATTGATATATTATGCGCTTTGTCGGCATTGCAGCATGAGAAATAATGTAATGCATGCAAAATCCTTTCGGACACGTAAAATATAGCGTTTTTCATTGGCAGAACTGGTGCGCGCACTCAGTGCACATTAAAGCCGTTGTACACTGATTTAATCTCTAATATTTAAAGTAAAATGCAAATATTTCGACTGATAAAATATCCAGTACATATTTTACCAAATAGTACAATGAAGAATATTGAGGATTTCATGATTTAACCCGTTTATATTAAACACTTTACGTTGGTCTGTGTACGACGGCTTTATAATGTGCACTGAGTGCGCACCAGTTCTGCCAATGAAAAACGCTAATATAGTCGGCACGAGGGAGGAGTAACGTTACAATCGGAATGAATTATGATTTTGAATTTTTTTTTTCTGTCTGTTAAATATAATATACGAAATCCGAGATAAAATCTTTTCAAATGCTGATATAATCGAGACAATAATGGACTTTTATCAATGTTACGCTTGTGCACTTTTACGCGCTGTGAAAAGTGTAGCAATTAATATTCATGTATCTAATAAATAATGGACCGTATTCATATAATTCTTAATAGTCGCTGCATGAATTAATTCAATGACTTACACTTAAAGTAATGGATACCGCGCAGAAGAATGTGAAAACAAGAATAGAAAAATGCGACATTAAGTTAAAATTGAGGATATTATCCAATTCTCTAAACAATAAATAAAAATAAATATTGATAATAATTCAATTTGTTAGAATAAAAATTACACAAAACAAAATTAAAATTTCTCAAAACACATATGCATATACATCTATATATATACATACATATATGTGATAAAAATTTAGTTTTATTTTTCTTTACGTGGTTTTTTCATTTTATTTCTTTATAATACATACCTAACTTATATACATGTGTATATATAAAGTAAAAAGAAATTATATAAAATAAAATAAGAGAAATAAATTCACGTAAAGAAAATAAAGTATTAAATTTTTATTAAACAATAAGATTGTCATGTTCGCATAATATAAATAATTTCATAAAAGGGCTAGCGAACAAAGCTCGTTCTTAGTGCTTATAATTATATATTACAAAAGCGACGAAATACATATACATTCCAATTTAAAACTGCGAGTCGATAAACGTCGGACTGAAACACATTGGAACGCTATCGTTGGAACATTAAAAACCCTTTCCTCCTCGGAATTAAATCGACGCGATTTAATTATCTATAAACTGTAAAGAAATTATTGCGAAAAATATTACCTCAGCCAGGATTCGAACTTGGAACCTCCCTCATTCCGTGTAGGGCGTCGTACCAATTCGACTGGTCGACAGTCCGACATTTATCGGCTCGCAGTTTTAAATTGGAATGTTATATTCGCTTGTAATATATAATGATAAGCACTAAGAACGAGCTTTGTTCGCTAGAGCCCCTTTATAAAATTAATTAAATTTTTTTATTATTAACTGCAAAAACTGCTTAAAAAGCTTTACACAAGGATTTGAAGCATTCATAAAACGTAACACGTAAAATTATTACGTAATGGAAAAAATCCCAATATCTTCCTTATTATTTCCAATATTATCGCTTCAATTTCTGTCGGAATATTACAAGATAATTGGAAACGGAAATTTAATCGAACGAAATACAGCGGCGTGAAAGGCAACACATAAACAAGTCTTTTTCTGTTTTAGAAAGCTCTCTGCCGAGACGCAGGGCGAAGAAATGGCCCTTCGAGGCCCACCTGACGTGCCCAACGTGTGATGTCAGAGGCCCGGACTAATCGCGCACATGGCCACCGGTGTCGACGAAAAGTCACTGATGTCCACGTGGAATTCGGGGGTCATCGCGAAGACGCCGCAGGATCGATCTCTGATGAAGGACACCGAAGTTCTCGCGATAATCCCGTGCAATTAGCTGAAGGAGTCGCGCTCGAAGAAGCTAAGAGAGAGACACGTGTCTTCTCGCAATATTCGAAGTCGTGTGCGTGCATCCTGCCGTGCACATGGCGCAGAAACGTGACTGTTTGAATTCCGTGATCTTTCCCTCGTTACATTCGCATTAAATCGGAGATATAAAATTTGAAGCCGGACGACGCTACGCTTGACACTGAAAACGCGCGGAGAATATATACAGTCGAAGTCATGCATTTTATTTCTCGCACGTTTACTGCTAAGTGCTAAGCGTATCTGATTGATTGTCATTTCACGTTGACAGAAAACCTTCCTTAAATGTACCGCATTTGCGACTTATTTCGAAAAATAATGTTCAAAAGTAGTTGCGCTTAGAGCAAAGTACGCTGCCAAAATAAGGCCCAGTGTCTCATGAAAACATTTTAAGTATAAACGGACTGTATTGGTTCGGCGCCATGTAACTCGCGAGCCTATTATGTCTTACATATGCATATTTACGTAATTCTGTATTATAATGTAAGGAAATAATATATTCTATACTTCGTCCAAGATTGTAGATAAGTTAAAAATAAATCAACGTTTTCGTAGCAGTGTTGTCAAAGCTTTATGTACTATTATATTACACTATATTAACTCCTTGATACACAAAACTCAAAATATGCGATGATACATACTCACGAAGGCTGCGTTTTGATATTCACGTATAGTATACGTGACGTAAACTATAGATTTTCAGTATTAGCAGTGAACATCGAAAAGCAGCCAAAGTAAAGCGTAGTGAGAGAATATCAATCAGCATCGCAGAAAAACGTCAACATTAACATTTTTTACACGGCTTTTTTAAGGTGATCCTATAGTAGCAGTAATTACCGACATTTAGTTAAAAGCAAACCACTTTTAATTGGCTTTACGGAATTGCAAAAATTTGGTGTAGAATTAAAGTACGCACAAAAATTAGATCGGTTTTAACTTCCAAAACGAAAAAAAATTAAAAATACTGTAATAAGTGATTATTTGGCTAGTGATTAATTACTTATTTAGAGTATTAAAAATACTGTTTTTAATGATTTTAATACTCAAAATAAGTAATTAATTACTAGCCAAATAATCACTTACAGTATTAAATTTCTATAAGGGATAAATAAATCGAATTGACAGTTATTTGATTTAATTTTCCCATATGACAGTTTTATAATACATCCAATTTAATTACAATTAGTTATGGAGGCCGGAGTGAAATTTCCACCTAAAATGTATTCTTTCTTAAATTTTTTATTTAAACATTCGTGTTCATATAATGGGGTTGGCATATGAGTATGAAGTAAAATATATTTGTACTATTTAATTATATGCGCCATCATAAAGAAAAATCTCTGTTTTTGCTACACCGTTATTTATTCTTTTTGATTAGCGAATTCCTAGAATCGCCGAGTACTAGCATAATAAAAAAACCAAGGCGTGATTCGATAATACTAAACAGTGCGGGAGTGATCTACTACGATTTCAGTCACGCGATATTGAGGAATGTACTTCCAGACATATAAGAACAGAGGACGCTCTCATTGACGAAATATATAAGTTCATTAATAAGAAACGAGTCACA